TCTCTCACTGAGGTCTGTCTTCTTTATTTGATTTTTGTCTTCTTCCTGATCTATAAATATTGGCAAGCTCCTAAGCTCATCTTAGGTCCTTTTCTCTGCCTATACTCATCCAAAGGTGATACCAAGTGTTAGAGCTTAAGTACCATGTACAAGTGGATAACTTCCACATTTCCAAACTGGACATCTATACATCATTTGCCCTCTCCACTTAAATGTCTAATAACATCAGACTTAAATAGACTTTATTTTGCTGGTACTGGGGATGGAACTCGGGGCCTCAGACACGCTAGGCAAGCACTCTACCATTGAGTTACATCCCCAGACTTTTAAAATGTTTTCTTTTGAGACAAGGTCTCAGTAAGTTGTCCAGACTGGCCTCAAACTTACAGTCCTCCTGTCTCAGCCTCCTGAATAGCTGGGATTGGAGGTGTGTGTCACTGTACCAGGGAGAATCAAATTCTTGATTTCTGCTTATCCCTCAAAAGTGTTTTTCTCCCAGTCTTCCTCATTTCAATAAAAGACATCTCTACTCATCCAGTTTATGGAACAAAAACATGTTATCCTTGATTCTTTTCTCTGCCTTGTATTATACATTCTTACCATCGTTGTATATTTTTGGCTGTACATTCAAAATATACCCAGAATCTGACCAGTATTTCTCAACATGAAGGACACTGTTAAAATGCAGAATAAATACAAGATATGTGTGAAAAATGCAATGTCCAGGCCTTGACTCAAGAGGATCTAATTCATGTGAGAAGAGGTCCAGAAATCTGTTATTCCTAACTAATACCCAAGGAAATTTCATGTAATCAGACCTCACACTGTGATGTTTATTTATCTAAGGAAGCTGAAACCCAGAAGAACCAGCGATAAGTGGGAATTATATATATTTGTACACGTGTACTTTTTTCTTGAGTGCTTACTGTGTGCCAAATACTAACTTTTAAGGCAAATATTATTATTATCCCCACTTTACAGGTGAGGCAACTGAGATACAGAGAGATTTATTAACTTGCCCAAGAAGCACATCTGGTAGGTGGCAGAGCCAGAATTCAAAGCTAAACAGATAAGTTTAGCTCCAGAACTTAAGCTCTCAACTAAGATAGAAAATCAGGCTGACAGCTCAGCCAAAGACAGACTCTAAGTATGAGGTTAAAAAAGCCTGGATACAGCTTCAGGAAAGCATAGTTTAACAAATCAACGTTAATAGCCAAAACAATTTATGCAAGCAGCTTTTATTTACAGCTGCCACTCAGAACAAAATGCCTTGATGTATTTTGGGTGAAGCAACTTTGTGCAATGAACTAAGTCAAGTCATTATGTAAAGGGCACTGGAAGACTAGATTTGCATACTTATTTTAAAATCAGGAAACAAGAATTGTTGTGTTCTTAAAAACAGTTTCAGAGGAGCAGAAATTCACATCTGTTTAAGAGAAAACTAGAAGCATGTGCCTTACTTTATGACAATTCTTTATGGCAAATGAAACTACAGCTGCAGAAATTAAAACCCTCCCCCACAAAATCAAGATACATCAAAATAAAGGACTATTAAAGGTACTAACCTCTTGTTCCCACAAACCAAAAGCTTCTCTATTCACTCCAATCCTGCTCCACTGAAAACAATTTTCTCATGCTCTCTCCCACAGTACCCTCAGTTTTCATACAATTAAATACACCATCCTCTAAGCTGTTTCTGAACACTTACGTAGTTTTTTTCTCTGCTAAAATCAATGCTATAAGTAGTTATTGTCTTGAGCACTATAGAGAATCCTTCAAAGGAAACTGAACAAAAACAAAATGAGTGAAGAAATACAATACAGTATGACATATTAGGTGACAGCTTAATTCCCATGTGCAGTAAGAGTCAGCAAAATTCAGAATTCAATGTAAGGCTGATGAAATTTTCCAAGAAAAAGCACTTAAACAGTTCCTGAGTACTCTCTCTCTCTTCTGTCCCTCGCTTCTTGGTTAAAACTTTCAAGTGCTCCTGTGTGAGGCCTTTTTATCTATTTCTACTACTCAAGTTGGGGTTCTCATCACTTTTTATGTAGCCCTTTATAAAGAACACTTATCAATATTATATAATTTAATAAGACTATGTACATCCACAATACTTATTGTGATAAGTTATATATTACTGAACTTGAATTTCCTTATCTAAGGCTATGTGGCTTTTAGCATGCTACACAAGAATTCAAACTTACTTTTCTTTCCATGAAATCACTAGTATGGCATAGGTCCTTTGTTAGAAAACTTCTAATTTCTACCTCTCCAAACAATCTGAATAACTTCCTTTTAAATCACTTTATATCAAAGACCATCAACAACTTCTACTCCAACTTCAAGCAAACCATGCCCACCCCAATCTGATTTTACTTGTCACTATAATCCCCTTGGAGAACCTTCCAGTTAACTTACTACCTGAGAAACCTAAGGGACCCTCACATTCTGATCATCTTCACTCAAGGAGACTTTCTTAGCTGATATGCTTTTGCTCTCTCCCTCAAATTAAGGTCTAATCTCCACTCTCAGACCTAAGAGCCCTTCCTCTAGAGCCCTCACCCTTATCAATTAGATCTAAGGATTATTCTCTCTCACTTAAATTTCTGCAAAAGGTATACATTTGAGGCCGGAAGCAGCGGTGCATGGCTGTAATCCAGCAGCTCAGGAGGCTGAGATGGGAGGATAGTGAGTTCAAAACCAGCCTGAGCAAAAGCAAGATGCTAAGCAACTCAGTGAGATGGTCTCTAAATAAAATACAAAATAGGGCTGGGGATGTGGCTCAGTGGTCGAGTATCCCAGAGTTCAATCGCCAGTACCAAAAAGAAAGTATACATTTGAATACACCATATACTTCTTAAATATATTTAACATTTTGACTACCTCATCTCTTACATTCAGTTATTTAGTATTCTGTAATAGGATTCTCTCTTTTTTTTGATATCAGGGATTGAATCCATAAGCGCTTGAGCCATATCCTCATCCCTTTTTATTTATTTTGAGAGAGGGTCTTTCAAAGTTGCTTAGGGCCTAACTAAGTTGCTAAGGTTGGCTTTGAACTTGCAATCCTCCTGTCTCAACCTCCCAACCCACTGGGATAACAGGAGTGCACCACAGAAATGGGATTATTGATGTATTTATTCCTCCACCATCACACATCTGTACTGGACACTACAGAAATCAGAGATTATTAATGTATATTGTCACATTTGATTCTCCCAAAACAATCTGTAATGTAGGTGCCAGAGACCTAATATTTCTGATGGAGAAAAGAAACTTAGTGAGATTAACTGGCTTGCCAGTCTTCATATTATTTCCAAGGAGCAGATATACTTCAATCCAGGTTCTTCCAATAACATAATGATGCCATGTAGTACCCAGCTGGCCCTCCAAATCCAGATTAATCAACCATGAAACAAAAACATTCTAAAAAAAAAAAAAAAAAAAAATCTGTCCTAAACAGGTATACTTCTTTTCTTGTCATTATTTCCTAAAAAATACAGCATAGCAACTATTTACATACCACTTACATTATATACTATAAGTAATCACGGGTAATTTAAAGCATATTAGAGATGTGCAGCTCATATATAAATACCACACCATTTTACCTAAGGGACTTGAGCCTCCTCCAGTTATCAAAATCCACAGGGGCTCCTGGAACCAAATCCCAGCACACACAAAGGGACACCTTATTCAGTAATCTCTGCCTCAGCAGAAGGCCCATGCTTAATATTTGATGATACAACTGGAAGGTAGAGGAAGGCTAGTGGGGGGGGGGGGGGGACAATCACCAGCTGTGAGGTACTCAGAATTTGTATATAAAACTGTCCATCAATTCCCAATGCTCTCACATGTCTTGGAAAAATTTACTGTGCAGGCCTCCAGAATGCATTCCTGTCTTTAAGGGTTAAAAGTGTTAGAACCATGTAATTCAAACCTGGATACTCAAAAAAGACAAAAAGATCTGGATCTGAGCCTCTCCACACCATCATGTATTCATTTCTTAAGCACATACTATATATTAGGCACAGGAATATCTGACAGTTGTTGTTCCTAATGAAAGTAAAAAATCTTGTTTACTAGATGAAAGAGACCTTACGGTACATTTAGGTTAAATCCCTCATTTTGCAGATGAATAAGCGTAGGAAGAGCAAGCGTGTATCAAGGTCACGGAGCTAAACGCAGAACCAATACTAGGATTCTTGTTTCCCTGAAACTATTTCTTCCTGCATACTGTACAAAGACTAAGAAAAGACAACCCAGGAACAGTTCTACCTGCGCCCCCCCCCGCCCTTTTTCCCCTTAAACCCTTGTTGCTGAGTGTGCGGTTAAAAAAAATAAACAACAATTAAAAAAAAAAAACTGGGCGGGCACAGAAGGAAAGAGGCAAGCAGTAGTATATAGTAGTGCACTCGCTTGCAAACAGGCAAAGAAAAGAGGGCAGAGGGTAAAGAAGACATGAAGGGAAAAATTTTAAGGTTTCCTTTCAGCCCAGCAGGTTAAGTCAACACTCAAATGTTTTCATTAATAGCGTGTAAAAATGCCCAGAAACTTTAGCAAAAAGACTGAAGGAGCGTTTGGAATCTGCAGCAGCACACGAGGGTGATGTGGTGAGGAGTTTGGGTTTACCAACTTCGAGTAGATTCCTTAATTTCTTTGGGCTTCAGTTTTCCCCGTCAGTGAAGGGCACTTTGTACGGTGGACACCAGCACAAGGGAAAAGTGATGGCCACGTTGATGTGTGGGAGTAATCAAATTATGAAAAGTTGTGGTGGCCAGCATTAAGGACCAGGGACATTTCTGACAAAGAAGCCCTGAAGAGGTGAAAGTTCGGGCTTAAATTGGGGAATGTGCGGGCTACAAGCCCGTGTCGGTGGGCTAGACGAGGGTTTTCCTCAAGAGGCCGCAAAAATAAGGGGGCGGGGATGGGAAGGTGGTCTCGCCGTTCCCCAAGCCTCCCCAGGATTTGACTGTCCCCAGGAACCGACTCCTTACCTTATCTAACAAGCCGCTGCGGCTGCTGCCTGTCCCACAGCTAGGGCCACCACCAGCCCCACTACTGCCTCCGCCACCACCACTTCTCCCGCCCTGTGCCGCCGCCGCCGCCGCCATCTTGTCTGCTTCTGCGTCTCCCTCCCCTCCGACTTGTCCGAAGCCAATTGGCTGAATTTGCCGGCGTGACGTGCCGCTCGGAGTCCTTCGGGATCCGTAGTTCGGGGCGAGATGACGCGAGGTTATAAGCGGAAGTGACCGCGGAGCTTGCCGGGACTTGTAGTTAGAAGCTCCGGCCGCCGGTTGCTGCCTACACGGCAAGCCGCGGCGTCGCGGTTACTAAGGAGTAAGGAAGGTAGTGAGTGGCAAGCGCCACCGTGGAGCAGCTCCGAGATTTCCGCGAGCCTCGCAGGCGCGCGTCCCGCCTGACCCGGTCGTCGCCTCCGCGGACCCCTCGAAGGCGGAAGCGACGGCGGAGGCAGGTGCGGCTGGAAACTTCATTTGCGTAACTTAGTCTTCCCGCCCCAGATGTGGAGTCTCCAAAGGAGCGAGGGTAGAGCTATCCTTCATCCTTTCCTACCAGTTAGGGCGCTTAACCAATTATTCTCTCAAGCGACTGTCATCTTAGCTGTAAGCAATGTTGCATGTAGAATTCACATTTCGGAGTGATAAATGTTTGCCAGGCCATGTTCTACATGCATATACATCCATCCTCTTATTTAGTCCCAGAATCACCCTGTCAGATGAAGAAACTAAGGAACTTACCCAAGGCCAGATAGTATGTATCAAAACCCAGTTTGAAGCCAGGTTTTTTGTTGTTGTGTTTTGTTATATAAGAGCTTTTACAATTTTAGGATATAGTCATATTCTAGATTTTAATCAATTATCAATTTGTTTTTCCACAAATATTTATTGAGCACCAATATTACCTGGCATTGTACTAAAGAATACAAAGGGAACAAAATACACCTGGTTGAGCCAGCTTGGTGACACACACCTGTAATTCCAGTGATTCAGGAGGTTGAGGCAGGAGAATCACAAGTAAAGGCCATCCTCAACAACTTAGGGGGACCCTCAGCAACTTGGCAAGAGCTCGTCTCAAAAAAATAAAACAAAAAAGAATTGGAGATGTAGCTCAGTGGTAAAAGGTCCCTGGATTCAATCCACAATACAAAAAAAAGAAAGAAAAGAAAATCAATTACTACTCTAGAGACCTAGAGTTATCACACAGTAGTATTACATTATACTCTGTTACATTTCATTGTGCCTTTTTTTTTTTATCCCTGTGTCCCTGTCGTAAGTATCCAAATGGAACAAATTCTTAATGAAGTGCTTAATATGGAGCATGCCCTGTTCTAGTCAGTCAGGATACATCCCTGAATAAAATGGACAAAAACCTGTCTTGAAAAAGTTAACATTCATATGAAAATAATGACCATTAAATAATATCAGATTAGATTTCTTCACCTCTGTTGGGAGAGGAAGGCTACTTGGATGGATTCTCCTGTAGCTCTTTGTTGTTGCTGTTCATCTTTTGTAATTTCTCATTTTTTCACATTTATTTCAGTGCAATATAATTGTACATAACAGTGGGATTTGTTTTTACATATTCGTATATGCATACAATATGAATAATTTGGTCGATATAATTCCCCACTATTTCCCCTTTCCGTCCCCCCATTTCCTTTAGTCTACTGATCTCCCTTAAATTTTCATGAGGTCCCTCCCCACATTTCTTTTCCTTTTTTCTAACTTCCACATATGATGTCATTTCTCATTTTTAAATATCCAACTCTAATGTCACTTGCTCTGTGAAATCTTTCCTGACCTTTGTTTTTCTTCTTTTACGTATAGAATGAAGTGCTCCTATAGCATTTTGTCTGTGGCTCAGTTAAGTACAGTTAACACTCATTTAGACTCCTTTGTAGGCCAAATCTTGTATGAAGTTCTGGGAATAGAGATAAGTAGGACCCAGGCCAGGTTTTGGAAGGACTCAGCCTGAGGTTGGGGGAGAGGAACAGTCAAGGAAGCAGGCTGTTATAATACAGTGTGGCAGAGTCCCATCCTATTCTTCCTTAAGAAGTGGGCCTGAGGCGGTACACTGGTAAACATTTGTCACTCTGAAAATGTGAATTCTACATGCAATATTGCTTACAGCTAAGATGACAGTGTGGCAGAGTCCTATCCTATGGGTCCCATCCTATTCTTTCTTAAGAAGTGGGCCTGAGGTGGTAGCACAGAGAAGGGTCAACCTGAGACCTAGGAGGTACATGAAAGTTGTCTATGAGCTGCAGAAGTAGATGAGAACATTCCTGCCTCTTTGTGTGTGTGCACATATACCTGCACAAGGAAGAGAAAGAGAATATATATTTATGTTTTGAAGACAGGAGGTACTACAGTCAGATTAGCATGAGTTTCAAGTTTGAGATAGAGACTGGAGGTAACTGACTTTAACCAGACAGGCAGCCTCAAGTCAGAAACGTTTGGTTTTCTACCATAAAGTTCACACTTCCCTTAGTATTACTTTCTAGCAAATCTCACCTGGGAGTTATGTCCCCTCTTGGCCCATTAGTTATAGACCTACACCTTCTCACCTAATAGTCCTTATAGGAAATTGGAATTTTTATTAGTTATGTCTGGGTCGTATGCTTGAGTTTGATTTTCTTTTGCATTATATGCATAGTAGTATCTTTTCCCAGACCAAATCTTATCTTTCAACTTTGACTTCACTATTTTTATCTTATAGAAATTTATTTCATTTAAATGATCATGTAAATGATCCCTTCCTTTCCTTTGCGCTTTTTATATCTTATTTAAACAATCCAGCCATACTTCATTGTCATTAAAAACTATCTTTCTATTCCTCTTCCCATCTGTGCCTCTGTCTCTGTCTATATCTATATCCAGCTATTTCTTGGATCTTTTATCTTATGGTTTTTCCCCTAGGCCCTTGCAAGACAAATTTTGGACCAGAAGGCTCACAGTAGGATATAATTTATAACAAAGTTCAAAACTTCTGAATGACAGACTAAGAGGAATTATAATATCTATTTTACAGGTAAAGAAACAGGTCAAGAAACATAAAAAAAAAGAAGTCAAAGGGCTATTCCCAAAGTCAAAGATCAAGTAAGTACTGTGTAGACCTGAAGCCAGGTTCAATATTCTATAAGTTACTGGAAACTTCTCTAGCAGTCATTATCTTTAACATTTCTTGGCCAGTGATTTACTCATTCATTCTTTTCATTTATCTTTCTAGCAGATAGGTGTAGTTGGTCACTAGAGAGATTTCCTGAAAGACAGATTGAATCTAAATCTATTCCTATCCATCCACCTACCCATTAATCTTCCCAACATATTTTTTGTGAGTTCTAGATTCTGCCAGGTACCAGAGTGACATAGGTGAATAAGTAATTAAAGGCCCCATAAACAAGTGGGAAATTGATGAGGGGAGTAAACAATTACAATAAAGTAATAAGTACCATATATACTAGTAGAAGTATGGGATATCATAAGAACACATGAGAAGGGGCTGGGGATGTGGCTTAAGTGGTAGCCCGCTCGCCTGGCATGCGTGTGGCCCGGATTGGATCCTCAGCACCACATACAAAGATGTTGTGTCCGCCGAAAACTAAAAAATAAAAATATTAAAATTCTCTCTCTCTCTCTCTCTCTCTCTCTCTCTCTCTCTCTCTCTCTCTCCCCCTCTCCCCCCCTCTCTCTTTAAAAAAAAGAAAGAACACATGAGAAGAGCTTCCAACCCTTTGCAAGGGAGGATAGGGATTAGAAATTTTATAGTGCCCCATAGTAAACCAAAGGAAATACCAACCTTTATTCATTTCTTCCATAGGTAGTTATGGAATATGTTATGTGCCAGATACTGTATTAGGGATAGATTATTGAATACCATATATATGTTGTCCTTTCCATTAAGGAGCTTAGAGTCTAATTAGAGAAATCAGTTTTGCATACACCTATGAGTCCCATCCTATTCTTCATTTGGTTCACACATGTCTTTTGTGTACTTTTTATAAACTAGGTTCCAAGGGTGAAGAGAGACCATTGGACATGTTTGGACATGTTTCCAAACTTTGTTTGTAATCCTTGAAGGACCCCCTTGTGAATTTTATTAATCTTATGATATATAAATCTTCCAGTCTATGAAATGTGAACAATAAGTAAACTAAAGAAATAACTCCAGAGCTTAGCAAAAGCACAATTATTTCCCCCTAGAAATGTCAGTGAAAGCTTTATGGAAAGGATGACAACTGAACTGGGTATAGAAATATGCTTTTTTCTATGCATGTTATTCATTATTTCATTTAATTCTTACTACAATTCTCTGAGACACAGAATTTTTATTCTCATCTGAGGTACAAAGAGGTAAAATGATTTTCCCAATTCATTGAACTTAGTCTTGGAAACTAGATTCCAACTTAAGCTTCCTACTGCACCAGTTAACTTTTCATATCAGTCACTTCCAGGAAACTTTTTCTCAGGACACCTTGATTCCACTTTTTCACCCTGCTCCTGCCTTGTACTGAACTAATAATCCCAAATCCTCCATTTCATGATCCTACATTTTTCATATGGCCTCCCTTACCCCAGCCAGGAACTTGCAGATTTCTAAATCTTTGCTATCTCAAATTGTCAGAAGATGACCCACAGCAGATTTGGGAATGGCTAGAACCCTCTAAAGAGAAAACTGTAAGAGCTCAAAGTTTAAGAAACTTAGGTTTTTGAAGGTGGCACTGGTACTGAATGTTAAAAGAAAGGATCAGCCAAGTGGATAAGAAGGAAAAGGATTTTAAGGCTGAACAAACATCAAGAACAAAAACTGTGAAGACCAAATGTGAATGGTGTGCTTTGGATATTGAAAATGACCTCATAGGGGCTGGGGTTGTGGCTCAGGCGGTAGAGCGCTCGCCTAGCACATGCAAGGCCCTGGGTTCGATCCTTAGCACCACATAAAAATAAATAAATAAAGATATTGTGTCCAACTAAAAAAATAAATATGTGAAAAAAAAAAAGAAAGAAAGAAAAAGAAAATGACCTCATAAGCCCGAATTGGGCAGGACTGACAGGAACTGAAAAAGTTAGGACTCTGGACACCAGGGAACTTCAAGACTAGGCTCAGAAGGGGGTGTAGCTCCATAGTAGAGTACTTGCCTAGCTTGCATAAGACCCTGAGCTTAATCCCCAGTATTGGAGGGGCAGGGGGAAGGCTCAGGGATCTGCCCTTCTACCCAGTGGGCACCCAGTCAGAAGACAGTTGCAGTAGTCTAGTTGGATAAGCTGAACGTGGAGATGGAGAA